TTGCTCTGATCCGTGTGACCTCATCTGGATTACATCTGCAGACTGTACACATAAGGGTGCGTTTCCTAGGTTCTGGGTGAGCATGAGTTTTGGGAGACGCTGTTCAGCCCAGCACAGTCCATCTTCTGCCTCCCGCCTTCCCCATGTCTGTGTCCTTCCCACAGACAAAATAAAGCCATGCTCTCCCAGCCTCTCCAAGTCTTAGCCGATTCCATCTGACTCCCAAATCTCTTCTGAACACTGTCACCTCAGAAAGTTCCACACCTCATCATTTGAGCGATCTCACTCAGGTAGAGGTGAGACGGGGTATGCTCCCCGGTGGGGCAGCGTTCCTTTCTTCAGTGACCTTGTTAAACCAGAAAACAAACCATCTCCTCCTGTGACTCATTGGTGGAACAGGCATAGGGCGGACATTCCCATTTCCAAAGGGAGAAGTTGGAAGGTAAAGGGAGGCATGAGTCGGGTCCCAAGCAAGTGTGCAGCCGGCCGGGCAAATGACCTGAGGTTTCAAGGTCTGAGAATAGTCCTCGGTGTCTCCGCGCTGTGTGTCCTGGTCCCTGGGGCGGCCCCACCCTCCTGCCCCTCGACCATGCCTCCAGGATCCTTCCCTCGTCTTGAAGGATAGCACGTTTACAGCCATGGAATCCCGTCCTCGCTCTGTAGGCCTGTTTCCTCCCGTGTGTTGGCACGTGTGTGTTGACAAATGAGCATTTACAGAAACAGAGCAGCTAGGGTTCAGGGCTGCCGGCGTGGGGCCTTCCAGCCCAGGCCGCTGCCTCTCGGACCAGGGCTTCTGCTCCACAGCATGTCTGTTGTCCGTAAGCTGCGAGAAGCTTTGCGGAGTCGCTCGCAGTTTTTCTTTATTCTGGGTCTGTATCTGGGTAAGTTCCCAAACAGGTGAGCTGGTAAATCCTACGTTATTGTGTACATACTAATGCAAATTTTAGAAGTCTTTCCCTTCCCATGGAAGCAAGAATATATGTTATCCAGTATTTAGAAAATGACACTACTAGAATTTTTAATGTGACTTCACTGTCAAAAGCTAAATGTTATTCTGAAGCACACAGTTGGACACTGCTTCCCGCTAAAATAACGGATCCCTTTTCTTGAAGGCAGAAAGGTGAACTTTACCTGAGATGCTGGTGTAGATACACATTGGTGACCTTGTCTGGGGGACAGGTTGATGTCGGTGGCCTTTGAGGTGGTGGCACGAGGAGGATTTTTTTTTCATAGGCTTGCAACAGCAGTTAGAGCACTTACTTTAAATTATTTCGTTGTAGGTTGTGACTGTATGTTTAATGAACTTCCCGGCTGCACTGTGGTCTTGAGTACTTGATCATTGTGGAACACTTAGTTAATATCTAATACTGCTTTTCCTAGAGATTAAGCTACAATAGGGGAGATCTGGTTTCTGTAAACTTGGTTAGTCTAGAACAATACAAGTTTTTGAGTAATTTTATCTATATATATAAGCTCTTAAACATCTAGTAGGATGATTAAATCAAAGACTATTAGGATTTGCCAGATTATGTGGCTGATAATTGTGCTGCCTTCAGATAGTCTGAGGGACAGATCTGCTCTGGTATTTCCTACTGGTATTTTTTTTTCTTTAAATTCCAGTTTCCTAGATAGACTGGACCTCACAGACCAGTCCCCCTCTGTGTATTTCCACCATAGAACCACACTGTGGCGCTGTTGTGCTTTGGCTGAATATTTACAAACTCCTCTTCCTGTTGCTGTCAAATCTCTTATTTTGTGGAATGGGTAAAATGCTCTCAAAAGTATATGAAAACACTCATATTGGATACTTTTTTAGCTGTACATAATCAGTTTGTGATTGCTTTCAGTGATTGTGCTAGATTGCTTTTTATGTTAATCAGTTCGTTTTTTATTAGCATGCATATTTGGATTTTTTTTCTTGATTGCCCCATCTTATTTAGTTAAAAAATCAGAGGGCTTTTTGAAGGTTATGAAGAAACCAACAAACAAAATGACACTATAGATGACAACAGGCATATATTTTTAAATACGACTTTTTGGATAGGGTTCCACTAAAACTACAGTTCTACTCAAAATATGCAGTGCCGTCTTCCAAATCCAAGGTAACCTTTTTCCCCATTATTACTGTTCTGTGCCAGGATCTGTTGAAGAGGAAACAGGTGATGATTTATGTAGATAACAATGCCCCCAGGATTTAAAATCTCCAGGTTTACTCTTGTCACTTTTGCAAGCCTGCCGTCTTCAGTGTGTTATTTCTCAAGCCAGTATGCACTAGTTCTGCTTGCATTTTAACAAGACCGTTTTTATTCAGGGGCTTAAGGAAGGTGTTGGAGAGTAAGGGGTCCATGGCCTCAAGAAGAACCCCCTTCCCCGGAACTCCCAGATCAATTTACTATTTCAGTGCTTTGCATGGAATGACTTCATAGCTTTGCTGGGCTACTTTTAGGAAGTAATAGTCTTTTAACAATATAAATAGATAGAAACAGTAAATATTAGTTGGATTCATAAAATGTGTTGAAATGTATTCTCTCTTGAGAATAGAGTGCCAGGGAGTAGACAGATGAATGAGATGAGTCTGATGAACTTGGAAATAAATGAGAATGTTTGTCTTGATCTGTAAAGGACCCCCTGTCACTCATTGTAGGGTCATCAGAAATACTTCCCGGCTAAGAAGAGACTCTTGACTTTGTTGAAGTGGAAATGGTAGGGGAATCATAAACAGTCGTGTGGAAGAACTGGCTTTAATATGTTCTCCCCTTGACAGAACTTTGGGAGTGGTGGTTGGTTCCTGTAGGAGGAACTGTAAGCCCCCTGTAAGGACAGGTCTGTTCTGCTCGTCTGTCCCTGGCATCTAGCACTTGGGTGTTTTTAGAGTGAGTGATCCTCATAGGAGCCCTAACTGTTGAATCCTCGCAGGGTGAGATGGCGATAAAATGCCAGTCAAACGTTCACTAGGTGGATTTGACATCTTTTGTCCCCAGACAAGCTTCTAATGCCCATAGAGAATATGGTGGTGATGGTGTCTGTTGCTTCAAGAGTGGTAGTCAGCCAGTTGGGCACATCAGATTTTAGAGCTGGGTACTTTGGAAGTGGGAGTTGGAGTTACAGTAGATATGCTTATGTTAACACGATCTACAGAGGCACTGCCTTAAAGAGGAGGCAGTATTTCTGCAAAATAACGTAGTCATGAATAAAGGACAGGACAGTAGGGCGTTAGGAAGTAACCAGATAATGGTTAAGTTCATTTATTCATATAGTAAATGTTTGTGGTTCATCTCCCTTGGGCCAGGCTCTCTGGTGGCCCAGCTAGGCTGTCGGAGTGTGTGTGAGGCCAGGAACCAGGACTGACATTTGTAACCATTAGTTGCAGATACATGTTTGTGGTAATGTTTATACTTAATCTGCATATTTGTACAGTAAATGAATGATGATAGAAACAACTTGCTCAGTGGTGAAGATAAACAGCATAGTTAGATTTTGGAAAAATAGAATATGAAAGGCATATCTTGTATTTTTAATTTGCATCTTAGCTCTTGATTCTGAGAATTGGATTGAGTTATTTTATTTATCATATCTGTTTAGAATGCTCTGTAATACTTTGTGGAACAGAGGCGCTAGGGCTGGGTCTCAATTATTTTAAAATGAGCATATTTCACAGGGACATCCCTGAAAAGACCAATGAAAATCTCTTTTTATTTGGAGATGTCAAATTAGGAAACATGTTGAGAGACCATTATTTTGAAGGAAATAAGCATATGTAAATTTTGCAGTCAAAGTGGTAACTTAGAATAAAAACAAAAAAAAACGATCCTCCACTTTCTCCCGGTTCTCAAAAACTTACAGTAAAGAAATTGTGTTTTTTTTTTCTTTTTTTTTCTGTTCTGTAGCAAAGTAAAAATCTAAATCCCAGGGAGTATCTGTCTTAAGAGTGTTGTGGATACAAAGATACAAATGTAGGGACCTGAAGGGGTACGTGCACCCCGATGTTTATAGCAGCAATGTCCACAATAGCCAAACTGTGGAAAGAGCCAAGATGGCCATCGACAGATGAATGGATAAAGAAGAGGTGGTCTATATACACAATGGAATATTACGCAGCCATCAAAAGGAATGAGATCTTGCCATTTGCAACGACGTGGATGGAACTGGAGGGTGTTATGCTGAGTGAAATAAGTCAGTCAGAGAAAGACATGTAGCATATGACCTCACTGATATGAGGAATTCTTAATCTCAGGAAACAAACTGAGTGTTACTGGAGCGGTGGGGGGTGGGAGGGATGGGGTGGCTGGGTGATAGACATTGGGGAGGGTATGTGCTGTGGTGAGCGCTGTGAATTGTGCAAGACTGTTGAATCACAGACCTGTACCTCTGAAACAAATAATGCAACATATGTTAAGAAAAAAGAAAAAGAAGA